ATTGCGGAATCTCTTGGGCGTCTGTTGGCGGGCAGTCAGTTATGACACGCATAAGAAGATAGTGGCGGTGGCATACTCCACTCCTTCCGTCGACCACCTGTCTGTGTTGGAGGCGTCTATCACGCCTGGTTCCATTGCTGCTCGACCCAGGCTGTGTCTCAGATGCGCGTGGTGCATCGTGGATATGCCGTACCTGTTGGAACAATATCCTCTGCGTGACTGGAGTGCCCTCGGTTGTCGCCCGGTTAACCACGCTATGGTGGACGAGACGAGCATGCCCAGCCTGGTCCTTTGCAGATCAAGACTGCCTCGCAGGTTGAATTGACGCGTCGTCGATGTTATTGGCGGGCGGGATTGACTGGGGCACGGATGCGTATGGATCCGGACCCGCCACTGGAGGGACTTGACCGTCGAATAGCCGTTCCTTCGATTTTTTGGTCATGTTTGCCCAGGACACCAAACTAAGGCGACAGAGAGGGATGAAGAGTGCTTCACGGAGCGGGGTTGGTGGAGGAGTTTGGAGGAGTTGGTGAAAGACGCGTCGCGAGTGGTACCGCGACTTATAGGCGTCGGCGCATTCCGGCAGGAAGGTCTTTGTTCCCTTTTTGTACCGACTCGTCGAGCAAGGCACTGGGTACATCACCCATATGAGCATGCACAAAACTTTGAAAATAATCAGTCAAAGGTCAAACTTCTTTCATGATTGTCCATTGCACAGTCAGTGAAATGAATTAGAATAATACTACTTTTGAGTGCGCAAAAATTTGATTGTGACACAGGATATGATCTTTGTTCAGCACTGTTCAATGAACTTTCATTTGTTTTGCAAGGCAACACTATGAACAAAATTTGACCTTTGTCCGGTTCCTTTCACACTTTCTCGGTGGCTCAATATGGGTATTGTACCCAGTGAGGGTAAAGGCCTCTTAGGATTCCCGCTCGGAAGGCATGGAAGACTCATCCTTCAAAGCACTGTCTCGTTGGATGGGTACTAATATTACTCGGATATTTCAGTCTACAATCAAGCGGCTATATCTTCAGACTATTGGGGTATTATCAATATTATCCTTTCTTCTAGATGCCAGCTGGGCGACCGCAGTCTTGCCAAATATTCTTTTGACAAGGCGCGCAAAATCTTCGGCCATAGGCGCACCATTTCGAGACGAATCCCGACATGAGTTGGGTGGTCGTGGTGCGTGGCTCGACAAGCACCTGTTATCCTCCGCAGCGACGCGCCTACGCCTTGCCGTTGGCTTATGTGGCCCTGTAGCGTATTCACATCCTGACTTGCGAGTCCCAGCGTCACATGAGCATGGCAGGCAGAAGCAAGCATTTGTGGAACACCACCGGTACTAAGAGAGTGTATTCGTCCGTGGTCGGGGGAGTAGCAGGGCCGCAATCTGATAGGGTCTGGTCCCCACCATCCTGCGAGGATGTGTGATCAGTGCTTGGCCTCATCATAGACTCGGCGCATTGGGCCGTCGGGTCGAGGTGAAGCAAAGGCCATTGTCTGCGAGGATGTTCCATGTCCAGGATACAGCCATCTATCCAAGCTGGTCTCCCGTAGCCGCGGCTGGGGATTGGATGGTGTAGTCCGCATGCTTGGACGTATCGTTTGATATTATTGGCCATTGTAAGGTTGGTGATTTTAGTTGTTGGTCTCTGAGGACCCGACTGATGACCAGTTTAGTTCACAACCGTTGTCTAGGAGCATTTTCGAATGATACACACCTGACGCCTGCGCCTATCGAACTTTTTTTCTCCCTTAGACAGGAGCGTGGCAGACGCGTCGTCTGTGACTGCCACAGGCGCATCCAACATGAGCCGCTGCATATCCTTCTACTGATCACCAGTAATATACTCCTCTGTCCAATCCACTGAGGAATACGCAGATCATGAATGTTGAGTGCCTGCAGCGGCCAACCAACCTAGTCGTTAGACTGGCAGTAGAGGGACGAAGGATATGGCGAGAAGGTGCGCCTGTGGCTGATGCTTGTTTCTTCGGCAGACGCCGGGCCACGCGACCATCTAGATCTTTGCCCTTCACTTTCGATGCATGGCCTCCGTTTTGTCACTGACCACGTACTTTGCATTCGCAATTGTGCAGTTAATACACACCGCGGGGAAGAATCACCCTTCATGCATACCAACCTGGATGCATTCATGCGGCCATGCCCAATCCATCCCTAGTCCTGTCGTCCTCCTCTGGAATCTCTCCATCCCCACCACCTCCCTCTTCTCGTCGAGTACACCCAGACCCTTGCCTATCCACCGGGGCGCGATGCGCGTCCCCGACGCCCGACGCGGGGTTTACGTATCCTGGATGCGGTCAAAATGATGAGTGATTGCGCCCCTTACTCAAGAATGAAAGAATCAGCGGACCTTCGGTGACACTTTCCTGGAATAACGTAGCAGGGCATACTTATATCGGTCCACAAACATATATATGCGCAGTGACCAGAGCGCGGAAGGAAGAATGTGAGGGATAGAGGGCGAGACCTCCACGAGCTGCACCTCTCAAAGTAATACAGTCGCCATGGTCACCATGCATCAGGCCGCTCGAGGGGATAGCTAGCCCACTTCATCGCGCTATGTATACAGTCGGTAACCGTCGAAGCCTTCCCCCCTTTCAGGTCATTACGGCTGGTGACTGGCAACTCACAGACTCAGCGTTTCTTGAAGTTAGCCACCACTCTGAGGACATAGGGAGACTAAGTACGCAACTGTGACAGGAAAACAGCTTCCGGCTATTCGTAAAGGGATGGCCGCTTCGAGACAACCACAAAATCACTGGAAAACGGCGAAGAGAGCGCTCGAAGGCGGTCAACTGCCCTCTCGAGACCCTCACTGCTCAATCCGTTGCTGAGAATGGTGTGCCAGTGTACTGGGGCCGTATACTGGCTTTGCATAATGCGGAAGCCAAAAACGGCGGGAAGGGCATGAGCGATGATCGATGAAACCGTGAAGCCGTCAAGGCGTACGTACTTCCTCGAACCTAGGATGGAACTAATTGTCTCTAACGTAACCCTCCCCCGACCTTGATAGCTGGCATTCCCTGCGGGTCCCAATGAAGTTGCTTTCTTACGTTAGCACCGTATCGTGCTACTTGCACTACGTCAGTTGTCACCTGACATTCATGCGTGAAACTCCGGATCTGTAATATGATTCCAAAATGACCGTAGTAGGGGAGACTTGTATGGCATGGATCGCCAGAGGCGCAGACTCCGTTGATTTCCTCGGGTCTCTGTAGATATGGACATGTGTTCCGCCCTAAGCTACCGGAGGAAGTACTTCCAGAAGCTGCTCCTGTAGGATCGCCTCATCGAGCTCGAAAGAGGGGTCTGCCGCAGAGCGCTGGAGGGTGTAACGCGCCCCCTTTATTGGCCTATGGATGTAGTCAGCGACCTCGTAGACGTTGCCGTCCACAAGGTGCATGAGGCGTCAATGCAAGTGCAGCCCTACTGTTGGATTCGGCTGAGCTGGCACACTACATAGCGCCCGAGGTCCTGTCATAAGATGGACTGCTTCGCCGTTGCATTGGGAGGTGAGCTGGGAGATCTGCCTGATCTGACGTTGGACATTCCCCACGCCGCCCGTTATTTGGCTCTAATGACGGTGGGCAGCGGGATAAACTACACAGTGGCAGCGTCAGTGGCAGAGAAGGTGTTGGGCAACCATGATGAACGCAATGTATTCCTGGAGGAGTATGCCGCACAAAAGGAGAAAGAAGTCCGGTAAAATATGCACTGTTGGTGCGTCTCGTTACTGTACATTGCCTTCGATCTAGGCATCAATAAGAGTCGTCGTCATCTTTTCAAGTTGCAGCTGACCGTGATATCCTGTGGCTTGCAGACTTGAGTCCTAGCTCCGAGTCACGTCTGGACATCTCAGCGTATGTTTACTACAAACCGTCCTCAGCACAATAGATAGAGAGATTGTAGAACATTTTATGTATAGTTTCAAGGGCCCCCGATTCTGGAATATTGTAAGGAGACAAGTAGACCGGATAGGAGTAAAACACGGAGTCCTGCCAGTGCAACTGTGCAAGCGGGCTATGGGAGGACCCCTGAAAATACCGATAGATGCCGGTGCTAGTCCGGACAAAAATCGCGGTCTCGAGCCCTCCATGCCAGACGCCATCCGGACAAGGATGGACGACCGAACCGGCCATCCCGGTTTTACAGTCCGGACACCGGTCATGACCGAGCTCCCATGCCGGTTACAGTCCGGACACGGCTGTGTGGCAAGTTGGCAACGGACTGGCCGAATGTATTTACCCTTTGTATTACATGTATTTTAACCCAATTATGACTGAGGTTTGTCCCAACCTGTCATTGTGTACCGTCGCGTAGCCTCGTGTAGCCCTTATTTGCACTGTGATATATAGTTTCTAGTATGTAGCACAATGGGCTCCGATGTCCAGTGGCTGAATGTGGCTGAGATCAGTACGCTGTGTCGTCAAAGTTTCCCTACACCATCACCACTTTACATGACTCTGGAAGCATGGACGACGCCCACAATACTTAACGTGTGCGCTTCGAGCTCGTTCATATGGGGTACAGCAGTCTCAGCGGGATTCACATTAGGGCGTGGCAGACGTTGACCTCACGGAAGAGGTGGACAACCCATTCAATCCCAAAGATTGGATTGGGATAAAGGCAAAATGAATGCCGCACTCCAGGGTCTGGACTCGGATGGGGAGGAGGATGGTTGATGGGAGTGGGCGGCCTTCGTGAATTCTGTTGCTTCATTGACTGCATTCGAGTCCTAGTACGATTACTGATACATTGTACAGTGTTCTAATGAGTTGATAGGCGAGAAAACCTTTTTTTTCTGTTTTTTCAGACGCTGGTGCATTAGTCCGGACAAAAATCGGCCCCTTCGGGAGGCCGGTATTTTATCCGGACAAAAATGCGGGGGGGAGCCTCAGACAATCCAGACATGGAAATTTTGAGTCTCGCACCGGCATTTATCAGTATTTTCAGGGGTCCTGCTATGGGGTACATGAGTACCTTCCGGGGATAGCCGAGACTGAGCCACACACGCGCTTGCGACGAGTTATGCGTTCGGTGGCCGCAACGACCACCATCTCTTCCGCTTGTGGTCCTAAATGTTCTGGATATTCGTCTGTTGCTGTACTGTTGAGATTTCTTGCTAGGCGACGTTAAAGGAAGCTCTACATGTTCGGCACGTTTGTTTGATATTCTCACGAAAAGGCACTGTCTCATTACTAGTACTGTAATTAAAGAGGTATACTCGACGCTAATAACCTCTCCTCAGGATCGTATTCATAATATCCATACCCCAATGCATCCCAGGTGTTCGGGAGAAACTCGAATGCGGGATCAGGGCGTATCGACGTCTCCTTCCTCGGCGGCGAGACCACCCACGGCTTACGATCACGTATGTTGGGCCAAGGGTTCATTTGGAACGGATAGTCCATTCCCAGAGTGTCTTCCTCGACTTGTACTGATTCTTTCCGGTCATCAACCGGTTCTGCGCTGTAACCAAGGTTGGTTAGTTGAGTTAAGCTTTCTTGTGAAAGCGCCTATTAACCAAACTTCAGTTAGTTCTGATATCCAGGTGTACTTCAGAGACATCCGCTTACGGTATTGTTTCCCGTGATCTTGGTGCCTTTGACATCTGTTCGCTCCCCAGCATCCTCTCGAAGCCTCTTGGATGGGCGTGGCTGCTGCTCCGGGACTTGGGCCAAGTTGTTAGAATTATGCCTAGGGGTGTACAGCTCCTCACAGTCATTGTCGTCCCTCCTTCTCTTAGTATTTGAGGTGGAAACCGGAAGATTGACTTCAACGTCGCCGGGAACTCGTGTGGTAGTCGGACGGGGACCGTGAACCACCTGCACGGACTCTGAATGACTACCCGGCTCTACAGCTGGAGGGGAGGTGCGCCTGCGCTTGCTCGGGGAAGTCGAAGTAGTCGCCGTTCCTTGTTCTTCGTGACCCTTGCTTGGGTCTAGTCGACGCTTCCTCCCTTTCTGGTACGCCTCCCCATCTTGAAAGCCCTCGCGGTCGATAGCTTTCCCAGCATTCGAACATTGTTTAGTGCCTTTTGCTGACCCGCCGCCATTACTCGCGGGTGGGCGTGCGAGGCCGGGGGTTGCGTCCTGAATGCGGCCGCGAGTTCCTGGTGCATATTCCGGTGCATAATTTCCATTGCCCTCGACAGATGGATGTCTTCCATATAGTACTTGCGTCAGGGCCGTGCCTGCCCGCTGCATCATGTTGGCAACAAATGGTCCGACATAGGTTGGTGGCACTGATAGCATGTTGGTACTCCCGCTATAGGTACGGGGCTGCTGTCGACGGAACCTCAGAACTTGATGAACCGGTGTGATAGAGTGCCGTGGCATACCATATCCATGTCTGCTTGGGGTGCTTCGTATGCGATGACCACATTGTGTTCCCCAGAGGCGCGACTTGTAGGGGTGTCAGACGTGCTGATTCTCTGGACTTCCTCAGATCTCTGCAGACACGCAGTTAGGATTGACGAGGGCAAAAATGAAGAGTAGTGGTAACGTACCGAACTGGTGCCATATACTAGTTCCTGGCTTTGGCCGGATTTGGGATGTCTGTTATGCTGGGTCGTGGACCTCTGTCTTTGTAACACGTGTTGTGGCGCGTTGCTGAGGTTGCGACCATTGGTCAAGTGTTCATTCGAGTTGTTCAGAGTCATTTCGTCGACAGCACAAGGTCGCGTGGATGAAGAAGGCTGATAATGGAAGAGTTTGGATAGCGATGGCGTTCGTGAAGAACGGCGGACTTCTTATGCCAAGCGTGTGTGGCACCGTGGACTTCACGTCGACGTGTCCCGCGAGACAAAGGTCTTTGTCCCCTTTCATGCCTTTGCTGCTTGCGGGATCCTTTCATGGGTGAGAGTCTTTGTTCTAAGCAGAGAGTTATCGTATGGAAATCTCAGAGTACGAAGCATTTCTGCGTTAGGCGTACTCAGTGCGAATACTATTCTCCTTGTCAATGCCTGCGACAGTGGCGTAGGACTGTGGCATTCGTCACGTGACATCATACATCTTCCACGACGTGATATTGCGCGTTTTGCAACTCTCAAATAAATCTATGGTGTAGTATTCAAGTGAGATGCTGAGCGCATCAGGAGCGAAGACATCAGAGAACGTCCACCTCTTTCAGGTTCTCGTGCTATTTCATCGGCTTGAGCGCTGGAGTGAATGATATCATCGGAACGACCAGAGCACACATGTATAGACCTCGCTGTACGATTCCAAAACGACCAGCTCGCTGCTGGCGTCGAAGCACCGCAGGACCCACTTTATTCCCTCTCCCACCACCTTGCTTAACAATCACTGCTTTGCATCGCTCACTATTTGCAGATCCGGGCACGCCTCCAGCAGCCTTTGCATGAACGGGCCCAGTGCGCTGTTGTCCTGCGGCAACAGGGGAGTGCATCTGACGCGCTGCAAGTGGGGGAAGCACGCCAGAGCCTGGAACCACTGCTCCGCGGGAAGTTCCTGATAGTCGCTCTCTGTCAATGAGTCTGACGGCTGTATCACGTACTGGGGACTGACCTCCGAGCCGTCGGTAATCGAAAGCTCCGTGATCTGGCGGGCTACTTAAGCGATTTCTGTAAGCCTTGAGATGCCCTCCACGTGACAACACTCTATCGTCATTATAGATGGATGGGTCTTGATGCCCTCCACTAACTCTTCCCTCCATTTGAGCGTTACTGGGTTGAGGTCATCGTCATATGGTTCGTCTGGGTCGTCTGCATTAGGAAGATAGTCCCATTTCCAGGGGGCTTCACCATCCAGGTTGAGTCCACGGATCTTCCGGATGCTCGTAACCGCTCGAGGGTTTCCGAGAATTGCAGCCGTGGTCGGGGCATGACACTCTAATGTATGGAGGTTCGGAAGTGCACCGTCGGAGAGCATCAGCGCCCGCCCTTCCTTGCCAGGGA